GAGAGGGGGGATTATGTGTTAGAAGAGTGCTTTATTTCTCTTAAAGATGTGAAACTATAACGGAGACCGGAGGTGGGAATTAGAGATATATGTGAAGAGGTTGGAATAATTTTTTGGAGGTGGCAGTCTTTCAGGAAAAGGACACTCTGATCATGAGGTCGATGATTGAGTGAGATATAAAGTCTGCTTCTAAATAGTTGCTCACTGTTGTACAACTCAACAGACAACAGCTAGCAAAAGATCCTCTTTAAAAAAAATGGATTATTGGTGTTATTATCATTTCCTATACTCAAAATTCTAATGATATTTTCTAATCTTCTCTCTCTCTCTTTTTTTTTTTTTACTTGAGCAAAATTTAATATCCTAAGATTTTTCTGGACAACAAATACAACGGGATAGGATCAGATGGTTGTTCTGTTAGAATAGGTATTTAAATTTTGAATCTCAAATAGCCCATGTTGTTATATTTTTAGAATCATATACCATGATCTTCATCACTAAGTTGTGATTTATAAGGTCTTTAGCCGCAGAATCAAGTTGTTCTCCTCCGGACGACAAAGCACAAAGCTCAAGATCATATCCAGCAGTTGTTAAGAGTTGATGTCGTCGAACATTTGGTACCACTCCCATGGCCCCCACCGAAACAATGTATTATCCCATCAATCTTGTTGAATTATTTTGAACAAATGGAAGTCAGGAACTCTCATGAAAATCAGAAACAAGAGGGAAAGAAAGGCGTTTTAGAGGGAGAAATGCCTCGAATTTGGAGAAGAATCCACAATAATAGAAGAAGGGGAGCACATGAGTTTTAGAGAGAGAGAGAGAGAGAGAGAGAGAAATGAATGGCTATACATGGAGGACAAAGTGAAAAATAAGGAAGCAGAGAACAGAAAAGTGTTTTGTGTTGAAAGAATATAACTTTTTCAGAGCCATAGAAAGGAGAGAAGATCAAAACTCCTTTTTATTTTTTATGATCAGAATTGCATGAATTTACAATTTGATTGGTTTCAAGTTTTCTTATTCCTAATTTCTCTGTCCAAAGCTGAGCTACACTACTGTGCATTTTTATTTTTATTTATTTTTATTTATTTTTAATTTTTTTAATTTTTTTAATTTCTTATTATCAGAAAACCACCTGTGCTTCTTTATCACAATGCCAAACAACAGGAAGATGTTAAACAAAAAGCAAAATTAGGTTTAAAGTAAGATTTACTTTAAATTGGGGTTAGGTGAGAATTAAATCATATCCATTTCCCATGCATAGCTTTTACGTAGTTTCAATTTTATAAACTCTACGTTTGTTTAATGTGATAGTATAATAAAGTTTTAAGTTTTGTAACGTTCGTTTATGTAGCTAATGAGATTAATAAATTTGTAGCCTCTTGCAACATACTTGATTGCATTTTTTTTTTTTTTTTTTTTTGGTTCAATTATATTGTTGAGGGAAGATCTTTAGCGGACAGAAAAGATTACTTATGTATTAAAAGGTAATTAAGCAATGTCACCATTTGAGTTAGTTTCATATTGATATTTTGATGTTAACCATACATCTTTACGATGATAATCGTCACCATTTGAGTTAGTTTCATATTGATATTTTGATGTTAACCATACATCTTTACGATGATAATCGAGAGAAGTGTGATTTAAGATTAAAATAAGAAAGCAAAACCAAAAGGTGTCCTGAATCCTTCCAACTTTTTGCTTAATTTGATATTCCCTTAAAAGCTGAAACATGAATTAGATTTCTTCTGTTTGTCTCTTTACGTTAATGCACACCTTCTTCGTCGATCCACCTCAATCTTTTTATTATTATTATTATTATTATTACTGTTTTTTTTATTTTTTTAATTGTCATACTTTTTTCTTAAATTTAGTGCCATTTATTATTATTATTCTTTTAAAGTCAATTAACCAACCCCATTTCTCGACACTTCAAATACATCCAATCCCTATAATACAAATATTATATTGGATATTGCAACCATATTAGAAGAATAAAGTATGATACATATTTAGGGGTGCTTTGAAAAGATGATTCTAAAGTCCACCTCGAGAAGCAAACGGGCCCAAATCTTCAACCATGGGCCCGTCTAGTTGAAACACGAACAATTGGGCCGTTGCTTTCAAGCCCATTGGGCTGTATTGTTCCAACATGGGCCCTTTTGTCTGGGTGCTTGGATTTCTTGCAGTAGCCCCCAGCTAGCTCGGTTTTCACAATTTTGATCATTAAATAGTTTTTTCAAATTTATAAATATGAATTAAAAAAAAAAAACTTGAATTTCCTTTTTTTTTTTCCCCAATGATTTATTAATTGGATGAATGATGGTGGTCAGGTGGGGACGCGAGTAACATTCACGTAACACCCTCGCGAGTGAAGTCGGTGGTTTTCAAACTTGGAGTCGGCAAAACGAAACGGTAGCCGGTTGCCGGTAATGTATTGGCATTATCCTAAGAAAATTTAATTTTGTTTTTTCGCTTAAAAGAAAGTAAAAAAGTAAAAAGAAAACTGTGGCTGTGAATTTACAGAACTGAAGGGGCTTACCACTTTCAAACAAATCACGACCGTTGAATCATTTGGCAATATTGATCTGATCAGTGACGAGAGCTGTCGCTCGTACCCACCAAAAGTAAATATCGTACGCCCAAGATCTATCCATCATGTGAACTTGATTTTAAGTTTTGTCCTCTCTGCATTCTTCTTTTCTTTAATAAAAAATCCAAAATTGAAAAATAATTATGTCCTGTTACTAAATTTGTAAAAAATAAAATAATTACGTTAAATTATGTTTATCCATTTTAAAAACTATTTAACAAGCTTAACCAGCTTTTAAGCTTTAAATTCAAGGATTTAATGTATATAATAATATAGTAAACACACTACTTATAAAAAGGTTGCTTCAGTCTCGCCCATTCTAAACATCTACATTGTTATAAGTAAGATATCCTACTGTTCTTATAGACCCTTCGCTACCATATCGGTTGCACATGCGACTAACTCCAAACGAGATCTTTAAAAAGGATCGAGCTAAGGAAGAACAATCAAGTAAAAATAAACCAAGTAAAAGTATGTACTATCGACTTGACTATACACCATGTAAAAGAAAGACGGACGACGTAACTCTAATTCAGCTCCACATCACTAGGGTTCGAAGAATTTAAGGAGGGACCAAAAGATAGGAGCTGGTTGGTAACAAGTGTTGGAAACAACCTCTTAATTATAGGAAAATAAAGGGGTAAAATAGCAAAAAAATGATTTAGTAGGGTAAGGAAAGAAAATGATAGAGAAAGGGCACGAATTCCAATGGTGTTAAGCTAATTTCATTACAGAACAGAGAACAGAGGAACAGAGGAACAGAGGAACAGAGAAACAGAGGTCTGAGAATATGAAGACGAGGAGACAAACAACCCTTTGGATTTTTATACCCTTTTTTTTTTTCTCTCACAATATTTACTTTTCTCTTCCAAAAAAATTCCACTTTCTTTAAAAAATAAAAAAATAAAAAAAACAAAACTTTGATCCCTTAAATACCACTCTCCCTTCCCATTACATCTCAAAAAGCTTCGTCAACTTCATCTCTATCTATCTCCCTTCATTTCCACCATTTCCACCCTCTCTAAACTAACCATAAAAAGAAAAAAGAAACTAAAATTAAATCCATCATCTCTGGATAAGAACAATAATGAGTAATTGGTTGGGTTTCTCTCTCACTCCCCACCTCAAAATCCATGACGCCACCTCCGCCGACGACCAACACCCAAACCCCAGCAGCTTCCCGCCTCTCATGCCTCTCCGCTCCGACGGATCCCTCTGTATCGCCGCCGCACACGGTATGTTCTTGTTTACTAAAAATAACAGAGGAGGTGTTTGAAAAGAAAAGCTCTGTTTAATTTTGTTCATCTTTTTTGGGGGTGTGGGGGTTTATAGATTGGAGGTCGTACGAGAATGAAATGGGTGCAAGGAATGAAGAGGAAAGTCCAAAGCTTGAGGATTTTTTGGGGAATTGTTATTCAAACTCACCGCCAAACGATCAGACTCATAATAACAACACCAACTTCATCCAGGCGAATACCAATAATAATTACCATTATCAGACGGATCATCACTCTTTAATTTCTAATAATGGTAATGCAATTTACAAGTCGTGGTTAGGTCCTACGACTTCGAGTCCCCAAAACGAGTGTGGGTTTCGATCTTTATCTCTTGGGATGAGCCCCAACTCGCATAACGACATCGTTTCATTGCCATCGCCGCCGCACGTGGCGGTGGATTCCCGGAAACGACCGATGCCGGTAGGGAAGCCTCCGGTTAAAGAACCTGTTCCTAGGAAGTCCATTGATACTTTTGGACAAAGAACCTCCCAGTTTCGTGGCGTTACGAGGTACCCTTGTTCTTGTGTTCTTAAACGAACCATTCTTTTTTGGGTTGATTTTGATTTTTTGTTGGGATTTTTGTATAGACATAGATGGACAGGGAGATATGAAGCCCATTTGTGGGACAACAGCTGCAGAAAAGAGGGCCAAACAAGGAAGGGAAGGCAAGGTAACAAAATTAAATAGCATCCCCCCATATGATAGCGTTTTAAGCCACAATTTTGGAGCAATAAACTAACGATTGTTTTGATGTTTTTTTGTGCAAAAATTCTTGGTCGGATGTCTGGTTTGGTGGCATCAATCAAATATCCGATTATGCAGTTTATCTTGGTAGGTGAAGAACTATTTTTCTTTATTATTTATTTAATCTCATGGACCTATATTTTCTCTTTTTAATTATTATGTTCTTATTTATTCCATCCATATCATTATAGAGTATTATTATTTTATGTCATTTCAATTATTTCACTTTATTATTTTGCATCATCAAATTTGGTTGTATTATTTAGATTGAAGATTCATTGTGTATCTGGTTTTATTAATCAGGTGGTTACGATAAGGAAGAAAAAGCAGCACGAGCGTATGATTTAGCTGCACTTAAGTATTGGGGTCCAACCACACACATAAATTTTTCAGTAAGTCTGTTATGTTCTTTTTGGTCTGATATTCGACGATACAACGTTCTTCTACGTAACGCTATGATTTATGCAGTTGAGCACTTACGAAAACGAGTTGGAAGAGATGAAGAACATGACCCGACAGGAGTTCGTAGCCAACTTGAGAAGGTAATATTTCGTTTGGTCCGATAATGTTTATGTTTGAAGTCGAGTTCTCGACGGAGCATCGTCGAGGCATCTTGTTGGATTGGGATGCGATTTGAAGGTTCCTTTTGTGTGTGTGTGTGTGTGTGTGAACAGGAAAAGCAGTGGATTCTCAAGAGGTGCTTCAATGTACAGAGGAGTAACAAGGTATGGCGCAAACCCAAAAGTTGAACTTTAATAATGGAGTTTGTGTTGTTTTTTTATGCACGTTGTCCCAGCTGCAGTCCTTTTCAATTATCATTGGCAACACCATAAATATATTCTATATATTTTTCTTAAATTATTAATATTAATATTAATTCATTTGTTGGGTTGGTTGCTTACTAGTAGTGTAATTAATGCTTGAAATTCACTTTTTTCATGTTTTTTCCTATTGTCTTTTAAGGTTGTTTGGTTCTTTTACTGTTTGTTTTTGGTCAGACATCATCAACATGGAAGGTGGCAAGCTAGAATTGGGAGGGTTGCAGGAAACAAGGATTTGTACCTTGGCACATTTAGTAAGTAATTAACCATTATATTATCAAATTAAATGCGTGTTATGATTTTATAATCAATCTATAGGAGATCATGTCTTATGTTTTTTTTATCATTCTAAGGTACACAAGAGGAGGCGGCGGAGGCCTATGACATAGCGGCCATCAAGTTCCGAGGGACGAGTGCAGTAACTAATTTCGACATTAGTAGGTATGACGTGAAGAGGATTTGTTCTAGCTCGACTCTTATTGCGAGTGACCTTGCGAAACGTTCGCCGTTGAAAGATGGAATTCCGTCGACGGCTGAGGAGTATAGTGCATGTGCTTCGCCAACGTCGTCGCAGCCTCTCTTGGCCATCACTGAGAATGGCGACGTCGATGAGAGCCAGCAGGAGTTGGTTGATATGGTTTGGTGCGACAATGGTGGCAAAGATGACAATAATCAACAAGAGGAGAATGTGGCAAAGAATTTGATGGGTTCGAGGAATGAGACAGAGGCATCGAAGTGTTGTATGGTGCAGAACAACGGAGAGTTTGGGGTCGGGGTTGGGGGAGGCGAGTATTCACAAGGGTATTACTCAATGGAGGAAGCAAAATATGAAGATGGGAGGGATGAAAATAGGGAGGTGGAGAATGATGTAACATTGGCTCATCATCAGGTTCCAATGTTTGCTCTATGGAATGAATGAGCTTAGCTTAGCTTATTAGCGTAGGGCAATTAGAAATAAGTCTCTCTCTTTTTTTTTTTTTTCTTTTTTTTTAATTAGGGTTAATTTGTAGGTTAGGAAGGTAATGAAGGTGATAGATGGTCGGAATAGGGTTAGTTTTAATATAATTAGTTTAAGGTTTGAAAATGTTGGATTTTGATTCTTTTCCCCCTTCCAACATTTCAGGCAACGCCAAATATAATTTAAGGAAGCGGTTTTTTTTTTCTTTTTTTTTTTTTTCTCTCTATGTAAAAGAAAAAATAAATACTTTAATCAATCAACTAAGCTAACATGCTTTATAGTTAATTAAATTTAATATTTTTTTTGAAGTATTAAGTTAAATCCCAACAATAAAAATTGGAAGTAAATTATTATTATTATTTATTTATTTATTATTATTATTGAATGTTGGAGGATTGAAGGAGTGGGTAGGGGTAGGGCAGGGAAGGGCAGGGAAGGGCAGGGGTTAGGGTACCCAGTTTGACTATTGGGAGAGAGAGAGGCGCAAATGCGTTTGAGCACTGGTGATAACGAGGTGCCTTAAATTGCGTGCCTCTGGCTTGTTTTATTTATTTATTTATTTAGGATTTTCCTGTACGCGCCTTCATGGAGCGTCCACTCACGCTCTCCCCCACAAAATAACACAATATTCTTGGCCAAGTGTGTGAAGTAAAAGCAGAGCAATGCAGCGGAGGGTGCATGCGTTGGCAAGGCATGCTCCTTCTGGCTCCCAGAGAATATATACGTACGAAGCAGTGGCAGGGTTGGGAAATTTAAAGATGGATTCGGGGCAAAATGGGAAGAAATCACAAAAAAAGAATGAATTTACCTCTGTACCCTTCCCATTCCTGGTTGTGATTCTTGTTTTGAGTGTGGATGTGTTTGTGAAAATGGGTAAGAGAAGAGCATCAAAAGGTACCCTCTAAACCCTAAAGCCTCCATTACAAAACAAAGCAAAACAAAACAAAACCCACCACTTGTCTTATTTTTCTCTGGGTTTCCTGTTGTGGTATGTAAGGAAAGAAGAAGGAAAAAAAGAGAGGAGTGGCATTTTGGTAATTTGGTGGAGAGAGAAGGGATGTTGGGGTTGGAGAGACAGATCCAAAGGAAAGGAAAGGGAAGGAAAGAGGAGGGATGGGCCTCTCTCCTTCTCTTACCCCTTTACTTACTTTCCCTTGTTTTTATTGGAACTTGATGCTTTTACTTTCTTCTTTCTTTTACTTTCTTCTTTCTTTTACTTTCTTCTTTCTTTTACTTTCCTTCAATGCCCCACCCTCACCCTAATACCTCAAGCCCCCCACCCTCACCCAACCGAATACCTCAGGCCCCCCACCCTCACCCAACCAAATGCCTCACCCAACCAAATGCCTCACCCAACCAAATACCTCACCCAAATAAAAGCCCTATTTATTTATTTCTTATTATTCATTAAATTTAACTTAAATCTTTTTATTGGGCCTCTGAGTTCGTAGTAGCATGAAGCCCACTTAACAGCCCAGTACCCTCTCTCATCTCTTTTATTCCTCATTATTTACAAATAATATGAAAACCACCCATTTAGGCATATCCTAACTTAGCTATTAAATGTTGTATCTGTTAATAAATAAATGTCTATTTAGTTGTTGATGATTAATAGGATTATTAGAAATACTTAGAAATAGATTTATTATGATTAATTAATTAATTAACTAGTGAGGCGACATGGGTGAGATGTAAGTATTGAATAATGGAATGAAGTGGAAAGAAAAGGAAAGGACTAAAAATGGAAAAACAAAAGTTGGGTAACAAAATGTAAATGTGATATAGATAATGAATATGGAAGAGAGAGTTAAGAAGGGGGATATAATTAGGGTATGTTTTGAAACAGATGAGTGGGATTCGATGTTGTGTCTCCTAAAAACAGGCTGGAAAGGAAACAGATTCTTAGGAACCCTAATCAATCACTCCATGAATCACACGAAGGAATGAAGCCCCCTAAAATAGGTTCGACTGTTGAAGTCCGCGTAAGCTCTCTCTCTTCCCCGCCTTCAACCCCATCTTATTTTGCCTCCTTTTTTCTCTCTCCCTCCCCCTCCCCCTCACAAGGTGAGACACAGAGAGAGAGAGAGAGAGAGACGCGCACACACACACACACACACACACACACAGATCGGACGAAGAACAAAAGAAACACACCACTGTGACTCAGTCAATCCCACACTGGACTTGAACACCTCCTTTTCCTTCTCTCTCTCCACTCTCAACCACCAATTCCCCCTTCTTATGCTCTCCTTTTCCCCCTTTCTTCAATCCCCCACCCCTTCAGGAACCCCCCAGATTCCAGGCCCTCCCAATGGCCATCTGCAGATGATTTTCTCCCTTCCTTAATCCTTCCGTCTGCAGATTTTGCTTTGGGGGATCCATTTCATGTTCTTATGGATGCCGATTTTGGGGTACGTATATCCTGATTTCCATCGCTCTTCTCATTTTCTCTCAAACCCTAGTGCCCCTCCAATCTGCCTCCCAATCTTGGTGGGTGTTCACGATTTTTGGGTTCCCAGGCTTCCAACGCCAATTTTAGCGGTTGGAAACCAAACCCTTTTGCCGAATCACGGACAAATTTGGGCCTTGTTTTCAATTTCAGGAGTTTCGGGTAAAGCCCCAGATGCGAGGGAGGTCTGGAAATTTTAATTTCAATCCTGCTTTTCTTTGATTCATTGCTGTTCAATGCAATGGAACGCCCATTCTCTACGTTGATCTTCGTCATTTCGGGGTTTGCTTTCAGTATTTTATCGCTTCTTGTTGAGTCTCAGGCTCGAGATGGAGCCATTCCCTCTTCCTCGCCGCCTCCGCCTCCGCCTCCTCCATCTCCACCACCTCCATCTCCGCCACCGCCACCACCACCGCCACCACCGCTATCACCACCGCAATCACCACCGCCCCCGTCCCCGTCCCCAAACTTCGTCCCGCCTCCACCGCCTGCATCTTCATCTCCACCTCCGCCAATATTTCCCCCACCGCCTTCTCTGCCGAGTCTCCAGCATCGTTCTACTCCGCCGCCGCCGCCTATTCCTGCATCCTCCGACGCGAATAAAAAACCACCCGAAGTGAGTCGGAATAACAACTCCCACAATATTGAAGGGTCGAAGAGAAGTCTCAATATGGGGAAGAAAGTAGGGCTATTCTTTGTTGGTATTGCGGCAGTACTTCAAATCTGCGTGGTGGGATTTTTGGTATTCAAGAGACGGCAGCTCCTAAGATTCAAGGACCGGTACGATGGTTTTTCTTGAATCAATTGGCAACCGTTTCCTTCGTCTTACATCAGAGGCAAGGACTTTAGGAGTATGGTTGAGGATATCACGACCATCGAGCTAACTGAATTGAATCACTGCTAAAGAAAAAAAAAAAAAAAGGGCAACAATTAGGTAAATTTTCTTGACTTTGGGGTTGGGAAGATGCACAAAACATGTTCTTGAGATGCTGCAGAAAAGAAAATGAAACAGAGGAGGCAGCAGGCGGATAATGAGGGGCAAGCATCTTCTCTTAGGGTCTCCTCAGGTGTTGTGTAAAAATGGGTACATGATATGATGATTGGTTGAGTTTTTTCTTCTTGTGATTTTTGAATTCTTGTTCATTCTTTTGTCCAATGCTGATTATACAGTTTGTTAATTCAGAAGAAACCGCTTGATATACATACCTGTTGTTGAATTCTTTTTCTGCTAACCACTGTTCCTTATGGCTGTAAAAGATTGTGTTTGTTTAATATCACAAACTAATTATACACTCACCCTCTACTTTCTCCTTGCTTGAGCGTGTAATGTTGATTGTAGTGTAACAGTTTTGTTTATCACTGATACTGCTGATTTTGGTGAAAAGGGTGTTTGCGAATCTATTACGAGATGCAATTCCCGACTATCTAGTTATTGATTATCTATAAGCTCTACGGGTTTAGAATCAGCGAACTGCCTTAGATCTGAACAGTAGTTGGGTTCATTCTAGACCTATGTTAACGCATCAGGGAGACCATTGAATAATTTTCTACATATGCTTCCATGCAAAAACTCTGTAGGATAGGACAGAATTATTTTCTCTGAAGTCTTTGATTTGATTAGATTACTCTAAGAAAGAAAAAAGATTGATTCGTTGCACCTTATTCTAGTATGGTTCTAGTCTTGAGCTCGAGTCAGGTAGACCCTCATTTTTTCGGTTTCGATATTCAAGGAGTGTTGGAGCTAGCTTGTGTGCATCATCGTGTTTTGATATTCAAGAGATTGGGTTAAGAGTTGAAGAGGAGGTGGTTAGGTTTAATGTTTCCTTGTGGGTGTGGCTTGCCAGGCCTTTTTGTAGTTAATGTCTTGGTCTTGGTCTTGTTCTTTATTATTGGAGTCATTTCGTGTAGGTCTTTTTTTGTCCCCTTGGAGCACTTACTGTGTTAAGATAGAGGCGTTTGAAAATGGTTAGTTATTAGTGTTTTAACATCAAGGTCAAATTGAAGACTGCTAAGGTCTGAATGCCTTATCTCTTGACATTATTTTAGCCAACTCCCTCTTCTATGATTATTCTGCACAAATTTTAACCCATTAACTTCAGTTATGATTCTGAGCAGGGAAGCTCATTTCTGGTAAGTTTCTTAAGGTCTGTTTGCTTTGGCCTTCAAAAATCTTATCAACTCAACGTCTTAACTAAATAGTTCAAAAGCTTATTGAAATGTCATCATTTTTGCACTTTTTTTTTTTTTTGTTTTGCATCTTCGAACGTCAAAAGTTCATGAGATCTGAGGTATACAAATGGTTACTTGATGTGTTTGAATTCTTACTCTTGTTGAACAACAAAAAGACAATAAAGAGGATGCATGCTCACGTTCCTGCACCAATGACATTATGACAAATAGTTTTGACTTTTTCAAGGAATATGTGGTTGTTTGTGAGTTGTATTGAACAACACTTTCCTATATCTCTTTTCTCATCTATTTTAAAGAGATTCGTGGGGGATGACTTGTAAAGTTCAATGTCACTGTGCACTTGTGACAAGCTTATGGTTACAATAGAATCGAGAACACTGATTCTAAACAATCAGTTCATCATACCCAACTGAAAAAAGGAGAAAAAGAAAATAACTCATTTTTTTCTTCTGCATATATTGTTTGTCCTGATCTGCTTAGAAACATGGATTCCTTTTTCGATTTTAACAACACTTGGATGGGAGAGATTTGAGGTTTTGACTTCTTGGGCTAAGTTGTTTGAGTAGCTAGTATTAACGAACTATCTATACATTTAGACAAGTTAATGGAATATTATAATCTACATTAGAAATCATTTGATGGGTGAAAGCCGATATGATAGCAAAATGATAGAATTGAAGATTTGTCTGGCCAGCCTTAAAATAGAAAATTTTTGGGAGTGTAGGAGCTGCAAATTTCAAATTAAAGGGAGAGAAGAGATAAGGAGGGGTGTTTTGGAGGTTGGACAGAGCTGAAAAATGCGGAAGGAACTGTCAATCCTTCTGCAATCAACAGTGAAGCTGCAAGATCCTTTTCCACGCACCTTCTCCCTCCTAAACACATCCTCATTCGACTCTCATCTCTTGTATTCTACAGAGTTTGGGCAACTCTCAATCATTTTTTTATTTTTCAAACTCTATACTCTCCCCCTTGTTTCATGAAAGATGCGGTTGAAATTTACCCATCCAAGCTGAGATTGTGAGGAACTGAATCTGTGAAATTGATTGATACCCTGGAACAGAAAAGAAAACCACCAGCATCAATAGTGTTACCTTTGGCTGCAGGTGAAGCTTGGATGGATTCATTCAAGTAATGTCCAATCCGAACATGTACTGTGTGTTGCCTTTCTCTGTCCCTTTGACGACTCGTACTCTGTTTTACCTCAGATATCAGTGAATCTTGAACTAATTTTTGTTCTTTAGAATGGGCTTTGAATTCTTGGCCATAGTGTTCTTTGATTCTATCATTGGAAAACAACGGCTAATCTTTATGTTTTGATGTGGGTTCAGGACTGCTTAAAGCCTTTTTTGGACTTTTGTTATAGAACAACTTTAATGATTCGTAAACGTAGAGATTGAAATCATTAGTTATACCAACCAAAAGCATGTCATGCTCAGCTGAGAGTTAAATATCAAGTTTTTGCTTAATTAAGTACGATAGGCTGTTATTCAGAGTACTCTATAAACAGCCTATTAGTCAAGACAAGGAAAGCAAATTTTCTGTTTGCTTAGGGAGAAAATTGTCATAGTGCTTCCATTCAAACAAGCAAGTTCGCATACTTTGAAACATGTTTCTTACAGAAAGAGACAGCAAGTGGAAAAAAGAAATATCGAAGAAAAGCGAAGGACAGAAAATCTCTCTTGAGAATCCTGCAGTTTTACATTCAAAACTTTAGCAAAAGAAAAGCTTCCCTGACCGCAAACTAAGAAGAAAAGCAGGCACTTCAATCACTAACAAGTACTCTTTTGGCCATAACCCCAAAACTCCTTATTTGGCACTTTAACCATCTGCACAGAGAGACAGAGAAAGAGAAGAGAGAGAGGGAGGGAGGGAGGTGAAGTGAGAAGGATACTATCAGATTACGGCACAAGAAGCAAGCAGAGCAGCAAAAGTACTCATAACCCAATAAAATTTCCACTTTGTATACTTGAATTTGTGGCTAAATCAAGCCAGGAATCTGAGTTTTTTGGTGGGCAATCCTCAAAGAAGTGGAGTAGTGGCTTCTGGGTTTCTGCATCATCTTCTTCCTCTGTTTTAGCTGATCTTGTTGATTTATTAAAATCTGTGCCCAAAACAAAGCAGTGTTGCTCTTGTTGTTGCCTCGCCTGTTTCGAACTGTAAATTTGGTGGCTGTTGGAAACAGCATGGGAGAATCCTTTGTAAGAATCCATCCCTATTGGCTGACTATAAACCTCACCTATGCTTCTTGCAGAGTCTGCAACTGAGGGAAAGAACGCCTGCACGCCCACACCCTCTCTTGGACCATTAATATCCCTATTTAACACACGACCCAATAAACTTTAAGCATATGTTATATTAATTAATACTTTATATCAAACATATTTTATAATATTAATCATCAAAGTCCATGAAAAGAAAAATAACCCATAAAGGAAAACAGTTTTGAACACCGAACCTGTAGTCTTTGTCAGCTTGAGGATGAGTCCCTGAGTACAAAAAGAGTTGAGGGTTTGTACTGTTTGGAGAGAAATCAGAACATGGAGGTCTGGAGGATGATGATTGAGGATACAAATATGGATGAATGGAGGATTCCTGATAAGCAGCAGGAGCAGGGGCAGGAGCAGGAGCAGGAGCTTGGTGATAGGACTGAGTTTCACATGTCAGAGAAGAAGAAGAGGAAAGTGTAGAGAGAGAATAGGAAGAGGAGGTTGGGGAGGAAGCAGAGAGGCTCCGGGTTGAAGTGAGGATTAAAGGCGGTGGCGTTTGAGCTGGTGGCGTTGAAGAGATTTCCACAGGCTTTCTTGAACGGTTTCTGCCTCTGTGCATGTGCCTCTCGCAGTATTTGGAGTCTGGATAAGCTTCTTTTGAGCATCTCCATTTTTTCCCATCTGTTCTTCTGCACCTTCCTGGTTCAGGATCTGCTTTTCTGCCAAAACCCATCTCAAAGCATCCCCACCCAACTGCAAATAAAATAAAATAAAAAGAAACATCAGAGTCAGTAACCCGCTTGCATCTGAAGAGATAAAAATGGGACGGAATGGCGGCTACTTACTGGGTTGGTGAGGGAAGAGTCTTGCAGAAATGGAGGAATCCAAGCTTCTTTTCACAGAGAAGATTAGATCAGGAGGGATAGGTACTCCTGAAACCATGTATTTGAATATGAGAGCTTGGTGTTCTAGTTCTTGCCATTGAGTTGGTGTGAAAGGAGAGACGCAGGGCTTTGGACCTGAATTCATTATTCTTGAAAGTAGAACCAAAAAAAGAAAGGAAAAATGAGAGAGAGGAAGAAAAATGTTTAAAAAGGAGCAAGGTTGAAAGTGTTGAAAGGCAGAGAGGAGGAGGGTATGTTGTTGGGGGCAGCAAGTTTTTGAATGGGTATTTCTGCAAAATCCATGGGTCGCAAAAGCTTGTTCCTGTCAAATGATGCCTTACTGATACCCTATATCTCTCTTTCTCTCTCTCTCTCTCTCTCTCTCTCTCTCTCTCTCTCTCTCAGTTGCAGTCTGCAGTTTATATGACTACTCCTCTGTTGGGTTCTGCCTCTGCCTTCATTGCTTCTTTTGTCTCTGATTTGGTTGCAGAAATTGATATACAAATGGATATAAGAAAGAGAAAATGAAACAAAATATCATAGACACACCCTTCATTTTGCTCTCTACACATCATATTCCTTGAAAACAGTGCCATCAGATTTTGCAAAACTGCTGAACACAATGAGGTGTGATGTACCTCCACAAACTCCTTTTTCAATACAAACAAAATCATCTGCAGCTGTCATCCTCCTATTGAACGCCCGGGAGGCTGAAGGATCTACCCAAACCCCCTCCCCCCACCCCTTTATGACACCAACTTCCCCTATTTTTGCCTTTCCTTTTCCCCCTCAGATTCTTTATACCTAAAAAATGACTGAATGTTTACCCGTCCCTCTTGTGGAGTCATAATAAATCCCTCTCTATTCAACAGGTCAATGCAAGTTGAAGACTTCCATGATGGACAGGGCACTACACTTCATT